TGTTTTGGATTATAAAAATTATGAATAAATTTTTTAAAATTTTAATTAAAATCTGTTTTTAAATTTATAAATTAAATAAAAATATATAAAATTAAAAAATTATAATGTTTATGTAAAATGATTGAGAAGTTAAACCTTCTCAAGGCACAATCTTTTTCTTGCCGAGTCCCTTTCTCCTCGATCCACAGCGACAAAATAAAGGAATGGTTCCAATAGTTTATCACGAAAGAAAAGACCTTCCTCTAATAGTAGTTGAGAAGTCAACTACCTCTCTTAGACTATGGACGAGAGTCTAAAGTTTACAAAGAATCCATGGTGAACCCGAATTGACTCAAGGACCAAGACCCTACTTTATGAAGCCTTCTTCCATGTGATGATAGCCTCTGGGGTCGATCCTGTCGTCAAGCTTAAGTAAAGGACTGGAGGTTAAGGCACGACTTATTCAAGGAGTGGGATAAGACAGGCAAGATTTAACTGCCACTTCATGCTCTAAATTTTGGATGTTTTAATCAATTCTTCTTTGGTGAAACAGAGAATATCTTGATTGAGGGTAGCTCCTACCATTCCATTCCCACATGAAACATAGAAAAGGGTGGGAATCCAACATTACCCATCAGCCCCGATCTTTGAAAAAAGAAAGAAATATATGCAGCCTTCTTGCGGCTTGTTAAAAGGATCTTTCCTTTCATCTCTTGTGCTTTAAAAATATAAGATGTTTAAAAATGTTGTTACACCGAATCTCTGGACATTGTTGGCCGACAATGGAATTACACTTTGTGCCCAAAAGGCCACCATTGGCAAACGTACAGAAAAGCATGTTTCATGATTGAAAGTTGAAACAAAGTCCAGGACCAATTAACTGGTCTTGCCAGGAAAATCTCAAATCTGAGTGAGGAAAGATGAAGCATTTGGTTCCCTTGCAAGTGCACTATGTGTTGCATGTCAGATCAGAGGAAAGCTCAGATATCATCTCCAAAATGAAGAAGATTCTGTTCAGTGCTCTCCAGAAAAGTTTCATGTCAGTGGTAGTATGGTACTGATATTCAGCCTTGAGTGGAAATCCAGAGAAGTGAGCTCGATGTTCTAGTTTGGCATCCTTTGAAAGACTGCATTTTATCCGCGTTCAGAACTATAAATCACCAAGTTCAGTTTCTTGATTATATCTTCAACTCTTACAGACATGGATTCTTCATGTTCCCTGAGATCTTTGAGAATCATGCATAGCTGTTGTTGGAATGCTGCAGATCGTTCTCTTTCGCGCTGAAGCTCACCATATATGTCGTGGATCTTCTTATCCTTTTCCTCCTGCGAACATGGTTGAACATATCGAAGTTAGGCGAATGAAAAGAAGGAAAATCTTGGAAGAATCCAGTACTGAAATCTCATCATAAATACAATTTCACAATCAAAGATATTTCCTGTATGGCATGCTACAATGTCACATTGTTCAATCTTGGAGCCTTCAAGATGAGGAACTGTGCTATATGTGTCGTTTCAGTAGGTTTAACGCACCTGCAACATATCTTTAAGTTTCGTCCATAGGGGAGGCATCCTCCCCACCATTTTCAAATCAGAGAAGTGCCAATCTAGCTTAAATGTAAGTTTAAAGCTTTGCAATCTTTTTATATGCAGACAATAATTACTAACTCACTCAAAGAACTCATATATATGGAGTTATCCCCAATCTAATTACAAATGCAAATAACACTGTTTTTGTATTTTCTAAGTTTTTCTATAAGCAAAACTGTATACTTATTGGATTACAATCTTAGGGTTACAAGCATACTGTTTATCACCACTATCACCATGTACAAATATACAAGATATAATTTGATTATAAAAATTACCTAGTTGATGATTTAATGATAAAAATTTAGGATTAATAAATTTATTTGTTTTATAATTTTAAATTCGAGTCATATGATTACTAATATAATAGTTATTGAAAATTTATATAATTATTAATTTTAGAGTTTATAAAATTAACCTGGCCAAACATTCATATAAATAAATAAATAAAAAATTTATAAGCTATTTACCTACAAGTTATCAGCTCATGAGATTACAGGCCTATAAACTATGAAGATCCTGCGCACTTGAATTAATTGCAGAGCAATTGTTGTTGATTTGTTCATTTATTGTTGTTGTTTTTGTATTTTATACTGCCTTTAATCCTTCTTTAAACTTTCGGTCTATTAAAATAATTTTCCATTAAAGCTCGCCGCATAGACATTTTATATTTCTCGTCAAGCTTGAAAGCAGGCCCTAAAATACTTTGTATTGACATAGCCATGACGGCAACAACAATGCTCTTAATTATACCAGACATGAGAAACCTAACTCTGTTACTAGACATAGAAAAACAAAAGTTTATGATTTCTTAATATATCACGAATAAATATCCAATTCATAAACACTAATTTTTCTTTTTAATTATAAATCAC